GTGTGTGTACCTGGGAGGTCTGGGCATGCTGCCCCCTACATTAGATTCCCAGACAGCGAGAGTGCCAAACTCCTACAGACTCGCTCCAGTGCTCAAAGTGCCTTATTTGTGTGTTAGAGAGAGCGAGACTCTTTATATGCAGCAGTCACAGGTCATAACCTCACCTAGCTGTTTGAACTAGGATGAAGTGGGAGAGAGCTGTTAAAGAGATAAACACAACCAACAACATGCTTATCTTTACACTTTTTTCTGTTGTGAAATGATGGAAGATTAAAACAAATCTATTTATATAAATTTTTTTAACTGCTGGTATCTGATCACAAACATGCAAAAAAAAATAAACTGTATATATAATAAAATGATCGATGGGTCAATTGACCCATCGATCATTTTTTGGGCCTTGCAAGTTCAGGGTCTGGGATTGGTGATCACCAAATGGCTTTGTGGTCACAGGGGAAGTGGGGCTTTACTCATGGTCCTGTGACTAAACCATATGCACAACCATCTTGAAAAGTCAATGGAAGGGACAGCTAGACCTCCCTGTCTTTTTATGTTTGTCCTAACTCACTGGAGGTTTGTCTTTACAGGCATAAGACAAACAAAGAAGGAGCCTCTCATATGCAATCCGAAATGTGTTTTCTGTCATCCAACATATCTCTCTCGGCTTGTTCCGGCACTTCTTTATCCAAATAAAACATCAGGCTGTTTTTGTTTATAGAGGCTTTAGTATTTCCTCATGTTTGTGGTATCAACCATGTTCTGTGCAGATGAGAGGAAAATAAATAGGTTACGAGGCCATCCGAAAGGGGCAGCATGAGGAATGCAAGACTCCACCTATGTTGTGATTTACAACTTTCCGTCATGTTCGCCACACGAATGTAATGAGAACATGGACTTTCAGCATTTTTATGTCCACTTTTATTTCCTCCGACATACCTTCCTGACATTTTACAGTCTTCTCTCTCACATTGGCTTTTCTCTTTTTAAATGCACTTCCTTGTTCTTTCGCCTCCTGTCTATTGATACGTCTGTCTTTCTGTCTGGGCTGTGTTTGGCCTTGCCCGTCTCGGCCCCTGCAGGAAGTTGTTAGCGGGCTGATAGAAAGCAGGCTGAGGTCATTAGAACTGAACACCTGCTCGGAGGAGTTACTCTTTAACTGCTCTCCACACACACTCACACTCATGGGCTGCTTGCATGTACACACAAAGCACACACATACACACACACACACACACACACACACTGTTTGATCTAGCCGAAGTCACTCCCTTATTCTTGCTCTCTCTTTTCCTGTTCACGGAAGAAGAGAGATGAATGAGAAAAGGGGAGGTTAGAGATGAATGGGTAGCTTCGAGGAGGAGTGTGCATTTGTGTGTGTCATGCTGCAGGCAGGTCATGCTGAGGTTCATGTGTGGGAAGATTGTGGGCATGTTTGGATCAGAGTACAGCTAGCAGGCTGGCAAGTCAATCTTTTTTTCAGGCTTAGCAAAGTTGTTACTTCTTACTAATTTCCTCTTTATTGACAGCAAAATAGTAAAATATGTAAACCTACACATGCAGGTAACAGTCAGATGAGCAATGCTTGGTATACCAGAATTTTAAAGTTAGCGTGACGACATATGTGATGACTTCAAATGTGTACTCTTCCTCTTTTATTCGCTCTTTATTTGTGTCTTCTAAATCTAAGGCGCTGTCCGTGCGGGCCCTTATGTGTGCTTATCCAAGTGTATCTCTTGTTTGCGCCCTGGCACATTTTTGTATGTGTTAATAAAAGTCATGTACCAATTTGAGGTGTCATTTAGGTGTTCCATTCATTACTGGGGTGGCGAGCTGCTCTATAGAACATAGCATAATGTCTGGGTGTGTTGATTTGATCTTTGTACATCTTTGTGTGTCTGCTGTTGCACGTAGTGTCGAGGGACTTGGCAAAGTCTGTCCAACAGCGGCACAAAGCCTCTGAGCCAAATACGACATGGCACACACAGCTGTAGGGAAGGCTCCCAGGTGTGTGTGTGTCTGTGTGTGTCTGTGTGTGTCTGTGTGTGTGTGTGTGTGTGTGTGTGTGTGTGCACCGTTTGTGCACCAGAGCAGGGCTTGTGGTGCCACGGACGACTGCATACTCTGTTGCTTCTGAATGAGCCAGGTGTCAAAACACACACACACAAAAGACGTTCCACACTACAAAAGCTATTCATCGCTATCGGCGATGAAATTGCAGTGATCATTTCAAATTTTCATACTGGGATCACCTCCAAGAACTGTGTGTAAACAATTTATCATAATTACTACCAAAAGGAGACGCTAATGTGGTTTTACTAAACGATTTATGTGCAATCAATCACATAACATCAAATGTTTAAGTGGGTCTCTGCTTCCTTTCCTAGTTACCGCAGGATGACCCGCTCTAACAGCGTAACCACAGCGGTGCAGGCTGACCTCGACGCCCCCACAGACGCCCCAGAGCTGCCGCCTCGTCACTGTGCCACCATGCCACGCCAGCTTTCCCGCGATGCTGCCTCGTCCACCGTCAGCATCCAGGGCTCGGGGAACCACTACCACGCTTGTGCCGCTGACGACTTCGGGGAGGTGGGGTTCGACCCTTCAATCCTGCCCCCTCCAGACCCATGGATGGACAGCGTGGCAGAGCCAGAGGAGGAGGCTCTGGAGGCTGTCGGCCGGTCGGTGTGCCCCCGTGACGGCCGCTGGTTCCTCAAGTTGCTGCAGGCTGAGACGGAGCGTATGGAGGGCTGGTGTCGACAGATGGAGCAGGACGAGATGGAGAATGAGCTGCCTGATGAGAGTGAGTAAATGCCAAGATGATAAGACTGATATCGGGTCTATTTCTCATCCTCTCCTCTCCTCTGTTTTGGAGAGTGCTGATATTCATGATATTGGACCACAATAGCTGCTTGTTCCTGTTTCGGGCCCTCTGGCCTCCACAGACATACCGTGCATACTTATCAATAGGCCGCTGCTGGCCCCAGCCACACATCTGTCCTTTAGACACACTGTATAATGAACTCTCCCACAAACACAGTGAAGGGGTTTCTCTCCCCGCTCCTCCAGGCAACTATTATTTGATCTTGATGTAACAAAAATATGCACACTGCAGAGCATGTCAGTATACACGCGTCTAAATATGTTTTATGCATATACACTTGCATGCACATACCGGACTGAGCAAACAAGCCTCAGGCAGTAGACACTTTATTTATACCTGACCGTACTGCACAGCTGATTTCATGTCTTACCGAAAATGTCATTGTTTATGCAGCTAGTGTGCTGTTATGGTTTCAGGCAAAATATTCTCTCACAGACAAGGGAGCCTGTCTCAAGGTTATGTTTTCCCAGAACCCACGCTACCATGTACACACACACACACACACACACACACACACACACACACACACACACAGGTACACACACTCATCCTGAAGGAGTAGAAAACATTGTAGTGCAGATTCATTACTCCCCCTCTCAGTTTCTGATCCCATTTTTCTTCAAGTACACTAATGTATGCACTGACAGTTCCTCTCCACAGGGATATGTGAGTCAATAGGACTGACATCGGTGTCAGGTTATGCAGTACAATCTTGTTTATCTCATATATCAGTCTGCTAAAAAGGCACTGTGAGAGAAATATACTGTAATAATATATTCTTTTTGGACTATATGCTTGATTTTTAAGTTTCTTTTTGATACAGGACGTCAATGAAGGCTTTTATTATGTGCTGTAAATATGGCATTTTGAATTGTGTATTCATATGGGATTGCTATTTCTGCATGTGTTCGGATTTGGAATTTCAGTGCATTTTAGTAATTATTTCACTTCCCTAAATGATTAATGTTTCTGAGAGACACGGATAAAAGAGGATTCTAGCGTATCCTTTTCTGTTGCATCGCGAATGCACCCTCTCTGCTAGTGCTGCAACATGCCTGCAGTATGCGGTACTGTGAGTAATTGCATTGTGAATTCTGTGTGCGCGCGTGTGTGTGTGTGTGTACGTGCGTGCATCCATGCATGTGCGTCTGTGTCTTTCTGCAGTCCAGGGGAAGATCCGCAGTGCAGTGGGGAGTGCCCTGCTGCTGATGTCCCAGAAGTTCCAGCAGTTCCGGGAGCTGTGTGAAGAGAATCTGGTATGTGTCACCTCATCCACTGCATGCTTCCCGAGCCCTCCCCCCACAACACTGACATCATCCTGCACAAATCATCCTGACAGGACAGACCAGAGCTCATTTACTATGCAACTAGTGTAGAGTGTGCATCTGCACACCCTTACTGTCTTTCACATACAAAAAAAGGAATATGTTTGTATTTATATTGTTTATGAAGCAGTGGACAACATTGAATAAAAGAACTGTAACTTGACGGATAAACTTAAATATTGATATGTCAAATGACTTGCCCCTCAATATGCATTTCAGTCACTTGAAAGCCAAATCTGTGATCTGTGCAATTTTGGTAAAACTGAGTTGACAGATGGCAACAGCATCTTTGCAAAAATGCGTGATATGCATATGCACATTATGTGGTTGTATATGTGTGTTAATGCGGACGTTTCTGTTTATATTACATTTTTGTGTATCAGAACCCAAATGCACACCCACGGCCCATCTCCCAGGACCTGGCAGGTTACTGGGACATGCTCCAGCTGTCTATTGAGAACATTAGCCTGAAGTTTGATGAACTCCACCAACTCAAAGCCAACAACTGGAAACCTCTGACCCCACCACAAATGCAGGTGCATACACACATTGCCAATATGAAATCCATCTAATCTCAATTTTGTTTTGGAATGCTTTACTAACCCGCATGTTATCTGCCGTCATTGCTGTATACTTAACATTGCAAGTCCGAATGATTGACAGCTAAGCTTTGTTGTAGCATGCAGATATGTGTTGCATACGCTCACGTTTGCCTGCCTGTCGTCACCACTTGTGTTTTTGTTTGTTCTGTCTTGTTGTCGACAGTGAGCTGCTTTTGGGAAGCTACACTTCCTGCCATGCACCGTTGGGGCCTGTCCGTCTCCAATGGTCACTTTTACCTCAGACAATGGCAACCGCCGCGCTCTCTTACCCCACACGAATGGCTGCCACTGTGAACCATAACCTCATTCAAAGTTGCATGCACATTATGCCGACAAAAGCTACACTGCTCTTTCTAACCCTTACGCAAGCTGGCTGCAGTTGTGTTGCTCCTTACTGTGTTTAGCTGCAGCTTGACATGAGGACTCAGTGGTTTATCACTAAGACTTTGTTATTCCTGTCCAGGAGAGAAGGATGCCCCCTCCTGTGCCAAAGAAGCCCCTGAAGGGCCACCACCCTCCCCTGGCTAGGGACCGCTCGCTGGAGAGCTCTGAGCGCCAGCGTCTGGAGGCTCGCAAGCGCCTGCTAGCTGCCAAACGTGCCGCGTCTGTTCGGCAGAGCTCTGCTACCGAGAGCGCAGACAGTATTGAGATCTATATCCCAGAGGCTCAGACCAGACTATGAGACACACAGATGCATGTACCCACACACATGCCCGATACACTGTTCCATATACACTGAAGCACTGAATGGTAAGGCTAGGGTGCTAAAATAACAAACACATTTTTTTGCGGACTTCCCAGATCACTGTGGAATTAGTCACAATGGAAGAAGAACAAGAAATGTACATTTACAGCATTTATTTATTTATTTATCAACCCCCTCCTCCTTCATTTCCTTCTCCCAGCTTTGATGTAGCAGTCCCTCCTCACTTACAAAGATGTATCTTATCCCTTTTTTAAGTGGCCTAATATTACAAAGTAAGCCAGGTGTAGCACAGCAGTGATGCTTCACATTATTATGTTTCAAGTGCTGAAAATCAGAGGTAAACAGGGAAGGAGCATACATGTTCATGTGGACTGTGTGTGTGTGTCTGTGTATGTATGTACATGCAAACACATACGAGTGATGTATTTTATCTGCTCCGATCAAATGTATCAAATCAAATTGAAAGACCAGACCTGACCTATTGACCCATATTTAAGATGTATTATTTATGCTTATTTTGTTTTTGATATTCGTATAAAAAGACCATGATCTGAGTTTTGATATATTTAATGAGGCCAAACATTATGAAAGGAAATAATGGTGAAAAGACCAGACAAGAAAGCTATGGTGTCCAGTTAGTGACACAATTCGCCCTCTGTCTGAAAATGGGTCTTTCCAGCAGCAAGAGGTCGATCCCCTTAAGAAAGGTCAGATTTTGCTCCTCCAGGTGAGGCAAAGTGGCCATTGAGCCAGGAGCAGGTCCTGTGGTTCTGCAAAGACTGCAATTCACTGAAAGAACCACTGTTTGAATAATGCCACAAAGCTAATCTATGTGTGAGTGAGAGAAAGAGAGTGTGTGTGTGTGTGTGTGTGTGGTATGATTCAGATGTTCATTTCAAAAGTGCTTCCTATTTTTCTAGGTCTAATGGGTCCTAGTTGTAATTGAAGATGAAGGTAGCAGTATCAACGAACTGTAAACAAACCACCCATCTTGTCTCATTCTAAAGTTTGTATGAAGAACATACAGTATAATGACATGACATGCATGCTGATATTTTTGTCTTTTTTAAAACAGGTTTAATCCTTTCTCATGTTGCGTTCAAACTCTTCAGTGTTACAGGCATTGCTAAAAATACTGATATTTGGTACAATACCGGTAGTTGTACTGTATTTTATGACGTCATTTTTAGACAAGAGGTTTATTGACAGTATTGGGACAAAAGGACTGAAAAGGGGAATATTTCCTCCTCACTGTGTGTGCACTATCTCTGCCTCCAGATGAAGCAATTCTTTGAAGGCCATACAAAATAGATCCAATTTATAATATTTTGTATTCATGTTTAATTTATTGATTAGGAGAACAATGACTGTTTATTGACATTGTGATTATCATTATGCACTGACAACAAGGCCCTTATACTGTGTTTATTTTTTATTTATGTTGATTCTTTAGCATGACAGGCACCTTTTTGTCTTTTCTGTTTCAGTGATCAGCCTTAATTTCTAATATGATAGTCGAGCACAACAGCGGTCTCAGGGGAAGGTGTGTGTGTGTCTGAGAGTGTGACTGACTTAATGTGACCCATGGCGTTGTCTCTTACTGTATGTAAAACCCCACTCACCAGGATAGGCCATGATGGTAAACAGGGGATTAGTATCCATGCCGTCTTTTGAATGATGCTCCTATTGAACATCCCGGCCCTAATTACTTCAATGTAACAGGGTGTCAGCTGCTTGAATGTGGAGACAATCCTGCGCCAGTTTTACCATCACATACTTGTTTTGATAACAGAATAGCAGGACATTGGGTTGTAGTTTAATTCTCTGTATTGATCTGACTGAGTTTTGTGCCATTGGATAACTATAGGTATGGGCATATTTCTGCTATTTGTCCCAGTCCCAAACGGCTACCTGACTTTTCATTTAGAGACGTTTGTGAAGGAACTCAAGTGATGAAGTAACCGTAAAGTATGATTTGTATTTCCTTTAGTTGGCTAAATATGAAGTTAAGAGAGGATGCATACAAATAATAATAGTTCAAACTTATTGCCATTTCATTTAGATGAAGGTTATTTTAGTATTTTTTACTTTGGAACTTGTATTTCAATTGAATTGTCTGTCAAATGATTGACTACTTATTTATGTTTATGATATTAACATATCAATATAATGCTCCTGGTATAGCAGGGAGATAGAAACCAGAATGTTGGATTGTGGTTAATCGCTAAACTCTAAAGACACTCCAGCAATCCTGGCACTTCTGAAGCTTGTGATGTAGTTCAGAGAAAAACATTCAAATCAACATTTGTACATACATGAATGTTTCCCTATGTAAATGTAAACAACCCCCCCCCCCCCCCAATCAAATAACCTATTAAGCAAATATACATTTTGTAATTAATGTTATTACACTGTTGATGTTATGGCACGTGTATGAGCTCTTATCAGCATTAAAAAATATATCATTGCCATCATTTTGTCGTGTACACTTCTTTTGCTGTCTCCACATGTGTTTTCAATTGGAAGATAATTAAACAAATTACAAGGCCAGCATGGTGTGCTTTTAGGGCAATCCCCTTCCGCAGGGGCGGGTCCCCATAATTAGACAGCATTTTTGGCCTTGGCTTAGCCCTGACGCTCCTGTGCATGCAGCTTCTGGTGATTCGTCATTCATACATCAGTCATGCTGATGGGAGGCATGCTGACCTCAGTGGCCAGAGTTCAGGAGAGGGGAGGGGGTGACAGAGGGGGTTGCGGAAATGTGTGTCGTCTTTGTATAAAGCCTGGCTCAGGGTCAGTCTACCTCTCAGAGGGCCCACCATGGTGGGCTACAACTTCCCACTGTGGGCCTGGAGGTCCGTTTAAAACCGTATAAGTGGTTACATCCCCAAGTTCGGACCCAACCTCCACCACAAGAACCGTCATTTCTGACAGGCAATGTCTGACAAAAAGGGAAAAAATATCTAAATGCATTCTGAAAATTTGCTGACATTTGATGAATCACTCCAGCGACTAGCCTAATAAATGTTTTTTAAATATACTACTTTGATATTGCCTTTTAGATACTATAGCTTTCTGATTAGCAAGGATAGGGTTCTGATTGTTCCTGGGGTCTTAATGAAACCAAAAAAACAACCTCGGCAAATGTTTATATTGTTTCAAGAATAATAAAGACAACAAATCCTATTCAGGCCAATCGAGCAGCTTTAGCAGGACCAGGAGGGAACAGCTGTCCTCCTCGCCTGGAACGAGCCAGCGCACTCAGTTGTAAGCTGACTTACATCGACTCTATTGAGATGCAGGCACACATAAAGCCCCTTTGGCAAGAAACTGTTGACGTCTGCCATTTGCTTGTGTTAATTTATGCAGGATTATGCTAATTGGCAAGAGCTGTTGTAAACCTCTCACACACAGGAATGTCTCTGAAAGCCTAACGGTAGCCTGTGGAAAGACATAAACACTATACTATTTCTGCTCCTTTTATTTACAGAGCATTCTGACTTAATACGCTCTCCGTATCCTTAAAGGATGAATCTGTAATCTCCACAAAGTTCAGTAGGATTTACAAGAACAAGAAACCTGTATGACTGTGCGTGATCCGAGTGATCCGGGGGGGGGGGATACCAAATGATCAAATCTGAGATGTAGAAAAACAAAACTTTATTTGAATCCCATGTGACCCCTATTTGCCACAAACATTGCACAGTATGAAAAGAAATCACATCATTGGGCATCATGTCACATTAACTATACACATGGTCCTATTATACATGAAAATGCGTTTTTTTGGTGATTTCAAAATTGCTGTCTTAGTCAGGTTGTAAAACAGCAAATGTAGAAAAGACATCTGTAGTGTTTAATTTTCCAGTCCACTGGCCGTCGTTTTTCGCTGAGTAATGGGATGAAGGCTCAGACTAAGAACCTGCTACATTGGTCATCTGAAATATCCCTTAGTGGGGAAAAACAAAACAAAACAAAAGCATAGGGTTTTTCTTTTAAAATGGCTAAAAGTAAATTACAAAATCAAAACTATGCTTATACTCATGAAAATACATAACAATTACTACAGTAGTGAAGAAGTTTGTCATAGATGCTAAGAGCAAAGTATGTTTAAGACACTGAGATGACCTTCCTCTGCCTTTTAGTGTGCAAACAAACATGGCAGACTAATCATGAGCTGATCTCTGAAATGTAAAAGAGTAAACGTGTGTGGACATGTGACCGATCTGTGTGATCGGTCTGTGAAGGAGGGCTGATTCTAGCTCATTCTCCGTTCTCTAAAATGATATACATTATAATGGAAAAGACATAAGACAGGCAGCATTTCTCCGATAACATTTTTGGTCCCTGTGTGCAAATAAGATACACATGTAGTTACATATGCATGTATGTGAAATGAATAAACAACTTACAGCCAAGGCACCTCGATACAGTTTGTTTTTTTTCAATAAAAAAACGTCCTCATCAATTTGATTGGTATACCAAAAATAGAAATGATCAGGCTTTCATGTGGATTTGTTCTCTGTTGCGTGCAGACAAGTCACTGAACTCTGACGAGTTCCACAGTCGAGACACAAAGTCAGTCTCTAATCTCTCCTCTTGTTGTTCTTCTTCTTCTGTCACTTTTAGGAGACCAGCTGTTTGGCTTGCAGCTCCATCTCTGCGGCCCGTTTGAGGGCCACATCCACCAGGAGCTGGAAGCCGCTGAAGTCTTGCGTGAGGTCTGGAGGGGTGGGGGGAGGGGTGTTGAAGAGCCCGCTGCGGGGGCTCAGGTTGCCCTCCATGCCGGTGCTGCCGAGGATGGTGGTAGTGGTGGGGAGGGGCTTGCCGCCCTGCCCGTCATCCTGGCACCTGAGCAGCGCCTGGACCTGCACGGCCTGCAACAGCTCAGCCGCCCTGTCGCAGTTCATTCCCGGCACGGAGGGGTGGGAGGTTGTTGGGCTTCCCTGCATTGCTGTAGTGACAGTGGTGTGACAGATGACGGAGGGGCGGGTGGGCATGAGCCCCGGAGAGGGGCACAAAGAGGTCGGAGAGGGTGTGGAGGGAGACTCTGTCTTCCTCAGGACACCGGGCACATCGGGTTCGAAGCTGGAGGGATGGAGGACGCGCTTGTCGTAGCTCTCCTCGGCACCGCCTGCAGGGCTGCCGTGTTTCGGGGACTGGGAGCTGTCGGAGAAGCTGTCGCCCGCTTTGCTACCTTTTCTGGATATGGTAAACTGGTTCGGATCTTTGCCATCTTTTCTCAGCATCTCTGGAAGAAGTCGCCGCCGCGCGTTAATGAACCAGTTGCACACCTGGAGAAGACGACAACAAAAATCAATGCTGTGAGAAAGTAGCATTACATGGCTCACTTATGTTCTGCCATGCAATTTAAAATGAAATCACTTAGGTACACTTATCCCCATGTGCGGATTGCACCTGTGTTTTCAATAGAGAAATGTAAATAGAGAAATGTAAATGAAACACCGACCCAACCCGTCCTACACTACTACACACCAGAGGCTGTATATTTCACACCATTAGCATTTTCAGCACTGCAGAAATCAAAAACCAGACCAAAGATTAGCACAACATCTCAAAGTATGAGAAGCTAAACGTTAACTTTCAACAAAAGGTCCAGTTTGGAATTCTTAATCCTGTATTCAAAAATAGTCTTCAATAAAAAGTAATCTCCTTTGTCCCAGCAGTAATCACGGTCATCTCCCTTCCGTTTTCCTCAGTTCTCCAGGCTAGTCGTAACTAGCTCGGGGAGACTTAGCTCTAACCATGTAAATGACTCTGCATTGTTCCCAGACAGCTGGGATGGAAAGGGGCTGGAGGGAGGGAAATTCCTGTCCAAGTGCCTCAGCCAAGCCCACAGCACACAGGGAGTGAGTTCACTCACTTTGTCTCAGACTTTCATGTTGCAACATCAAGCTGATTTAGACGACCTTCAATTCACCGTTGATGTGTCATGTTTTGTTTCTCATCTAGACGGGAAATGATTCAACCGAGCTGACACTTGCTTCCTCTCGACTTTTGCAGTGATCTGTTTACGCTCTAAGGGTTCAGCGGTGGCGAAAGCTTAGATAATCCTATCTTCTCGGTCCATACCTGTAGTGTGGAGAGCTGAGTCTGCTTGGACAGGAGGGCTTTCTCCTGCTCTGACGGGTAAGCGTTGTAACGGTGCTCGTACAGCCAGTCCCTTAGGATCTGAACCGACTCCTTGGGCAGATTTCCCCGCCGTTTCCTCTTCCCGCTGCTGCCCGAGCTGGACGACAGGTCCAGGGGGGTGTCCACGCTGTCCTCGTCATCCGTCTCGCTCCCCGACAGCATCATCAAACCTGCGCAAGCGTAGGGGAGACAAGAGAGTGTGTATGTGAAAAACAAGACAAAAGAATATGTATCCTCTTATGTCAGCCACCCTGTTGCCAGTCTCCCAGCCGCTCTGCCGCAGCCGTTCACCAAAACACAAGCTGTCTGGGAGGCAGCTGATATGTCAGAAGCAAGCTGTCAAGTTCAGCCATGTGATTCATATGAGGAGCGAGGGAGGGTGTGAGGAGCAGGAGGAGGAGGAGGAGGAGGGAGCAAGGGAGGGATGAAAGAGGGGGGGAGGGGGAGGGAACGTCACAAAAGGCTGGTCTGATGCTGTGTCAGTTATAAAACCTGCCTAGACAAATACAAGCCAGGTCTATTGCACAGACTGGGAGCACACCTTGCATGCTTGGATAAGTAAAGTACACTGCGCTGACCACAAGAGCAATCCCAGCATAAAAGGGAGATTTTGTGTTTGAAGAATAGCAGCAGCCTTTTTAATGATTACAGAGCTGCTTTCTTATTGAATTGTAGGCATGTCTAATCCAAGTCAATCATGATCAAACAGGATTTGGATTGAATGAGAGGGAAATAAATCCGATGTTAAAACTTTGATCAGATTTGTAGTGTGTTCCAGCGCAGTTTTTAGCGTCTGTTAAATTGTATATAGAAAGTAGGCTCCAATTGACCCAAGTCATGAATATAAATAAGTACATATTTGTTTGCTGGTGGTATCCATAAACACATGGATACCAGCAGCTCACTGTGCAGGCTGCCCAGACCCCATTCAGAAATAAGAGTCAGGGTGCATTTAATCCACGACCCTATGCAGTCTGCTCTGGGGCAAACTAGTGCGAAAGCAGTAAGAAAGTTCCCAAGTCTGAGCGGCCAACAGGATGAGGTAATTACGTAGGCTGGAGCGAGGGGAAGGGGGAGGGGAGACCTGTTGCAAATCAGCGTCTCCAGACTAAACAAAAGAATCTAGGGCTGCGTGGTTCTTTGTATGCAATTCAAAAGTTTATACACGCAAAACAGTGAGTTCGCCATAAATTTAACTCCCTCCGAAATGTCACAGTTTACCAGAGTGAGGGGGAAATACGTTTGAAAAGGCATAAAAGGTCCTGGTTCAGTAAGTTGAAGTAACTTGTAAGGGGTTTTCTATTGTGTGTGTGCGCGCAGCACCACGAGGTCCATGAAATGTAACAAGGCAACAGCAACTTCCCACAATGAGGTCAGGATGATTATGAGCCTACGATTGGATTTAGATACTATTAAAAACATTAAAAAAAGGTGCTCGCGGTGTTTCCGTTCGTGGTTGATTAAAAGATGCTATCGGGGGTTTTTTAAAGCTCGGACGTAGTGTAAATACAACACTTCAGACTCTTGAACTCACAACAATAGCCAAACTTTGACTTGAACCATCACTTCTCCCGAAAACTTCCCGACACAAATGTAGCGCGTGAGACTTCAAATGAGCGCGTATTCAAACCGAACGCGAGCCGCTTTTTAATTAAGTTTTGACATTTTATGGGGGCTCCGAAGTTAGGCTAATTACACTGCGACCAGGAAAACTACACATATGGCGAAACGGTCGTATGTTATTGTGCCAAAAGTTGAATTAAACATCTCTTAAAAAGCAAACCTAGCTTGGTCGACTTTTGATATCGCGCCAGCACATGGCAGAAAGAAAAGCACCCTGTCATGTCTGGAAAGGAAACAATAGACTGCACGGTTTGCATCTGAGGGAAATCGTTCTGCTCGCTGTCTCCGGGCATCTAAACTCGTTTTGACTTTATTTTTCTCATAAGCAGTCCAACCTACCCTTTTTCGTCTTCATTTCCCCCCGCAAATGTCCACTTTTCCCTCGTCAAGCGCAGAAGAAAATTGTCTTTGTGTTAGTGCAGTGTTTTCCTCTTTCCTCCAGATATCCCCAGCGTGTATCCGAATATCCGAAAACCCTTATTCATCAAAACTCGCTTCTTCCACTTTTTTTTTTTAAACAAAAATATGTTTCTTTCTTCTGGTCGTCCTTGTTTGGAGACGGAAGGGGGTTACCTGAGATCTCTGCGTCCCTTCGGCTCAAAGCCCTTTTTCTCATTGACTGTGTGTTTGATCCTGAAACTGGGTGACAGCTATCTTTGACAGCTGCGTGACTCAACGCACAGAGATCCTCCCACCGCGGAGGGCTAGAGGGAAAAATCTCTGACATCAGCGTGGCTTGTTCCACTGACATGGATACAGTGTAGCTAAGCTGTTACCGCTGCAGACCCCCCGCTCACGAAGCCAAACAAACACCGACACCGTGTATATTAAATTATGAACCACGAAAAAAGGCGTTGGTTTAGGCGGGCAGTCCGAATCACAACAACAACAACAACAGCACCAGGCTGCTTGCTGCTTGCTGGAGAGCACTGCGGACCTCGTGGTAACACCCCACACAAATAACAACCGCGATGAAATATCACATCATTATTGATAAAGGCTATGGCTTCTTTGGCGGATGGTGACTGGTGGTGTACCTGCCTTGTATTCGGTATCGATATGATCGCATTTTGTGGTTTTATTTTTCTCCTTTTATGTCACTTTAGCAGCGATTTTATTGCCCGTAACACATCGTGAAGAAGTATATGTTGCATTATACTCCCTGTGTATGTGTGAGCGTAAAATCCACATTATTGTGCAGAATAACAAGTTGACCCATATTATGTTTGGCAACACCAGCACACGCTGTGTTTACTGCACCTTTCCCTCCAATGTCGTCACCGTGGAAGCTCATTCTGTTGTATCAATGTAGCGACTGAATCACTTATTTTTGTTTTCCTGTGGTTTGTGGTCATTTCCTTTAAAATGTTCACATTATCTAAAAGTCTGTCGTTCCAATTTCTCGCGGGGATGAGAACATGTGTAAAAACAGTACAGGTCTATGTTATATGGGGGGGGGGGTGTTGAGCCATCCCTGTACCAGCTGCAGGTCGGTGCACCAGTTCATGTTACTAAAGATAACACTACAGCGAAGCAAACGACCGAGGCGCTCATTTGTATGCCGCGCACAGCCTTGCGACAGCTGCCGTAGCGTCGCCTCTTTGCGTGCATTTGTTCCAGACAGGCCCGTCGTTCCTCCACGTGAAGCTAAATGTCGCCTCCGCGTGTGCATGTGTGGGATTTCACTGGAATGCAAAGTCATTTGAAAAAAAAAAAAAAAAAAAAAGATCCTCGGACTCCCTCTGGTGGTCGTTGTACTGCTGTGCGACTTAAGTGACGTTGTGTAAGAAGTAGAGTTGGTTTGAAAAAAAACAACAGAGAAAAAGATTATATTGTGTCCACTTGATAAATAATACATCTTTAGTAAATAGTATAATTGTCATCACCCAAACGCCCCATTTTGTAATGTTTCTTATTATTGACAAAGTCATTAGAAATGAAAACGGCCAACCCACCATTGGCAGTCTTAACTTAATCATGTATATTAGTTCGACATTTTTAATTGCAAGGTCACTTTTCATCTGTAGTTACAGCTGTAACTAACTCCACTGAGGTAATATCTATATTAAGCACCAAACGTAATGTGAATCAGTGTGTTAAAATTAGACACGAGCGGGTCAGGCCTGCTGTCGCCACCACTAAGCTCATATCAGCCAGCTCCATTATTCAATACTATGTGTCACACCCTTCAATCTAACTAATAATAGTTATTATAACAAGTATTATAATCACCACTGTAATAATGAAAATGCTGAATCTCAAAAACCTAATTGTAGTGCTTGCTGAAGTACATTTTTTATTTGGCAGGCCTCTTAAAATACTGGTAGTAAATGATTTATTTAATTATTAATTTAACTGAAATTCAACAAGTTCACTTAATATTTGTTATTGATGCTGTGAGCTTTAGTTTGGTTATTTATTTTATTCGTGTTATAGGGAGATACAACGGAGGGACTTTTTTCCCGAAAAAAAGAGTAATAGCCCGCTTTAACTTGTTACTGTCATACATACTATCACCTAGCTAATACTCATCAGATCCTTAACATTTGTCGACTGATCAACAGTGACGCACTTCTTCTTTTAGAACCTGACAGTGGACAGCTGCGTCAAGCTGCATACCAACATTATGACCCATACCGGACATTGGCTAACCTGCCTTCAAAATAAAGGTATCATTATCACGTAATTATCCTACCAGTCATCTATGTTGCCTTTGTATTAGTTAGAGCCAGAGTTTGATTTGCTATTTACAAATTATTTAGAAAATATGAAAAGTTATTCATCACAGTAAAGTCTTAATTTCTTGACATTTTATTGGGATGGAGTTGAATGGAAAGCCCAGAGTGGACACAGTTTTACAAAGACCACAGCTTAATTGTTGTGACCTCAAATTATCAAACTATCACAACCAAGATTTATCATTTCATTGTCACGAGAGGAGAAAAAGGTTCTCCTGTTAAGCACACTTTACTTGACAGCAATAACAACGATACTATTGAGTATAGTAATAGAAATGTGACAACACATTTCAAACAAACCCTGCAAAATGTCAACATAAAGCCTATTCTGAACATGTCTATGTGCAAGAAAAGTGTGCACAGAACTCCTTCTAGTGCCTGTGATAAGTCAACTGAAACCCACACAGGTTTTGTCCATTTAACTAATTAGCCGTTGTAACTTTTAATCCAATTGGCTGCACCAGTGGTGATCTTGATGTGCACTGTTAAAGTTGAATAATTTAAGGGAACGAGTCCAAAAAAGAAGCAACATTATATCTACTTTGATTCAATGTTACAAGACATTAAAACATAAAAAATTCAAGGGGGGTGAAAACAGACTTTTACAGGTACTGTAAAATCTAATGAGTTCCATACAGCGTTTAGGCTCTGCTATGAGTCAGAGTCTAACTTAGGGTGAGATAAAACAGACTTGGCCATAGTGCCGCACACATCTGCTGTCACCTTAAAACAATGCATAACCGACAAGACAGCAAAGATGCAGTAGAAAAACATGTAAAATATTACACATGCACTGAGAAGTGTTGAACATGTTTCACCCCAGCACAGAGTACACGAAGTATGTAGCTTTTTAAAAATTCAAATTTCACTTTATATTTATTTTAAAACAATTTAACAATGCTCTATTGGTCGATACGAATTTTATTTTTAAAAGCATTTGAACGGAAGACGTATCGGTTTCATTCTGTCTGACTTCACATTGTTAAAGCAGAGTGTCTTGTTACATTTTAAAGTCTAAAATTAGGGAGGCACCCCGACAGCAAATGACGCAAGCCGTCTAAAGTGGACCGTCTGCTCGCCTCCGTGTGTCAATGGTATCCGGACTCCGGGCCATGGAAACGTCCCCTACAACTTTGCTGTTTGTTGATGACACGTTGGGTATTTTTAGATGTTGTCATCTTTCCGTAACAGCCCGGCTGCGACGTTCAGTATAAAGGACTCCTTCCAAAATGCAGCTGTACAACAGTGTGCTGACACACTACCCGAGGTCGTCTCGCAAAGTGACAATAACTTTGTCGACCAGATCCGAGCGTCTGAACCGGACAACGCCGAGCTCCTCTGACGCTCGCAAACCGGGATTTACCACTTCCACGACCAACGGGGATCCGGTGAGAGAGACTGCTTCTTCCGCAAACATGCCTGCCTTTTCGTGTTACAAGGCTTCATCTATGAGGCCTGTTTACTTCACATCGACCGCTGAGATATTAGTCCGCAGACCCGATGGAGTGGAGAGGACTGTGCCTGTCCATGTCATGAGGGAGTCCAAGACCAAACCCCTCTCTCCCGACTCACATAATGGGGACAGAATCCTCTATGAGGACTGTGGCTCTGACGTGATTGTGGACTTGATAGATCGTCTCAGAAATGGCACGGATGAGCTTTTTCCTGACTGCCCCGAGCTGGTTGGAAATCACATTTTCAACAGAAGCAACATCTACGGACCCAGAAGAGAAGAAAGCAAGAGGGTGGTTGGAAATTCTAGTGAGGACGATACAGTTTCAGTAACTAATGCCCCCTTCAGAATCAATGGATGTGACTTATCACATGAAGGGGAAACAGTCCCCTCCAGAGCAGATCACCCTGAAGACCTCACAAAGGAAGATCTTCAGGATCTGAGCAGTGGCAAAGCTGCTCCAGCATCGGATGAGAGACGGGCCTTTGAGCTCAGCGTTCTGCAGGAATCCCCCCCACAGAGATGCAAAGAGCGCGAGGAGGTCAACAACAAAGTCACCCGGTACCTGGCGGAAGTCGAGAAGCAAAACAAGTACCTACAGGAGAGGCACAAATACAGGTACCACATCATTCCAGATGGCAACTGTCTGTACAGAGCTGTGTGCAAAGCCACGTACGGGGACCAGGCGAGGCGCAGGGAGCTGAGGGAGCAGACGGTGCACCACATCGCCGACCACCTGGAGGAGTTCAGCCCCATCATTGAAGGGGACGTAGGAGAGTTCCTGATCAACGCGGCGCAGGACGGTGCCTGGGCCGGTTACCCCGAGCTTCTCGCCATGAGCCAGATGCTGAACGTCAACGTCCACCTGACGACGGGGGGGAGCTCGGAGAGCCCCACCGTCTCCACCATGGTGCACTATCTCGGGGAGGAGGACGCCTCCAAAGGGGCCATGTGGCTGAGCTGGCTGAGCAACGGCCACTACGACGTCCTTCTGGACAAGTGTCTCCCCAACCCGGAGTACGAGGACTGGTGCAGCCACTCGCAGATGCAGAGGAAACGAGACGAGGAACTGGCCAAGTCGATGGCCGCCTCGTTATCCAAAATGTACATTGAGCAAAATGGATCGGCGTGAAATGAATGAATTAAAGGACGCACACTGATCCAGTAGAATGCAGGACCTCTGATTCTGCTTGGTAGTCTACATGATTGAAAATATATTTTTTATAAGATTTATATCTTCAGAGAGAGGAAGTGCAGTGCACATACTTTGTTTTTTGTACATGCCAGCGTTGCCAAATTAGTGGCAGTGGTTTCTGGAAGTGTTTGAAAGTGTGTGAGCCTGTTCTTTGTGATAGGGTTATGTTGACATGATTGAACCTCTTTAATGCTGATAAGTTACTGTATGAGGAAGTGCTTTTGGGTATTTATTTGCCTTTTTATTGGCAGACCTGTTGTTTTTCTATGTTTGTGCTTTGTAGACCATTGCCATTTACAGAAAAAAACCCCTTTGATTTGGTATTTATCACTGTAGCTACTGTTAAATATCTGTAATGCTACTCTCTTTTGCACAAAAGTCCTGTCAGACAAGTCCGGAGAGTTTGTTTGTGTCTGTGAGAACAATTCAAGGCTTCTTTATTTCTATTATTCCAGTTCTCGTCAGGCTTTTGACAAAATATTTCAAAATAAAGTTTTGAAGAAACTTGATTCACAGTGATTTCATGTTTAATTGTCATGCTCATTGCTTTATTATTCTGCTCCTGTGTACATTGCCACATATTCTTATTCAGTCTCACAATGATAATGTCAGCTACGTCCTCTTGGGTGAGCAATGTTATGTTCCTGTAATGGGATCGCATCTATAACATTGCAGCTATGATGTGTGCAGTACTCATCCTTCAGGCTGCAGGCCTGGACCTGAGAGGAAGTGATTCAGCCCTTTTTGTAACTTTTAAAAACTGCATGTGTCATTTTTGAAACAGCAGTTTGTACAGTAGCTGTTCCAGACTGCATAACACTTTTTCTAGGATGGCAGCCCGCTGATAGCGTCGCACGTTTCCTCCATTAGGTGGCAGTGGAGCCATCCCAGAAACATTTTGATAAACTAATGTTAAGGAATTTGTTCTTCTCAAAATGATTACAACCTGGGATTGTCGGATTGTCGTATTGCATTGGCTTCACAAAATTTTTTGAATTAAAACACAAAACAAAAACAAAACAAAATGTTGAATGTTGTATTTATAGATAATGAGGGGAATTGTAGATTTTTTTACATTTGAATTCATTATTTGGCCCAATCAATTAAAAACACAACTTTGTATTGACTATTAATGAGATAACCGAATAACGTGTTTCCCTCCTGGTCCTACAAGATGCTCTTATATTCATAAAACATCAGTATTCAACTTCTTACTTAAACTTTATAATGGGTTTAATAATGTATCTTTTCACATGAACGCTACAGCGATGACGTAGCCCTGCAGTCATGTGGACATTAACTGGCGATCTAGAAATGGGGTACCGTTTTCTGTGGAAGATGTTTTTGAAGCAAAATTTAACATTGGTCTCTATCGAGCAGAAAGTTGGTTTTCCTCTCAATTACAGGCTTCTGTGCCAAATATGTAAATCTGTGGGATTCCACAGTCATTTGTCTACAACAAGGACAAGATTAGCTACTTTTAAATCCAGAAATGATGCATGAAAAGTGAAGATTGTGGACTCAGTGGCAACAGACAAATTTTTTTTTCACAAGAATCTCAAGCTGCTTTTCACTCTAGCGGTGACATCACTCACTCTAAGCTGCGCAATACACACCCATTATAAAGTCAGAAAAGGACTGGAAAAAATCATAAAAGTTAAATTGCTGCAGTTCAAAAGGTTTAAAATATATCAGAAAGCTGCATTATGTGGCAATAGTTCAGGGTTTTTTCAACATTTGAAAGTTAAAATGGTGTCTGTAGCTGAAAGTATGAGGAAGTAGAAGGATTTGAAAGTTGAAAAAGTTTAAGAGGATTTGAAAATGTTCTCCATAGACATCCCATACAAAAAAAAGTTTCAAAAAGCTTAATAATTCAAAAAGTTTAAAGGTTAGAAATATTAAAAGTCATAGCACACGTGTCCTTAACAAGCTGAACATTTTGATAGCTGAACGGTTTCTGTAGCTTAAAAAAATGAAGAAGAAGAAGCATTTCAAAAAACAGGGGACGGAAGAAATAGTTGAAGAATAAAGAATAGGATAACAATAGTTGGAATGCTTAACAGCATTCCAACAATGAAGAAGAAGACTGTTGGCTTGTAAACATGCTAGATTGTGGACATGTTTGTGAAGCCTAAAGCAGAAACACAGCCCCGTTACACGGTGCATTAAAATGTTTTTTGGCTGATCGCATGGCACTCGACCACATGACCGTACAGGTGTAAATGCACCCAAACTGCTTTGAGAACGGATTGTGATCTGATTGGCCAAACCACCTTCAGAGATGCATTAATAGCAATTCAATTACACGGTCACACAGTGAGTTTGCTTCTCCACCGGGAAGCGCATGTTCATTTGAAAGCAAATATTAATTTGGTGCATGTGTGACTTTATAGTACAGGTTAGAGGAAAACACACTTTGAGCAGCTACTTTGTCAGAAATATGAGATTTAAACAGACTCGTCAATAAGTCTAATAATTCTAGTCCTGAGCAAGAAGTTTCCAGCAGCAGAACACAGTAAAGGTCTGTAGCCCTGCAGCTCTTCATCGAACACACAAAAACATCCACCGACACAAATGTCTGCTGTCATATGCTGTCACTCAAAAGTTACAATTGTCCATTCTGTGACTGCTTCACAATAAAAGCCACTCCATGTTTCCTCATGTGAAGCAGCAGGAAGCGCAGGGTTAACCCAGCTGTGATCAGTCACATCACATTAACCCTGCTGCATGGTTTCCTGTCAGTGAGTTGAAACCTGATATGAGGAGTAAAGAATCAATCCACACAGGAGTTTTATTTTGTTAATGAAACAGCTTTATTTCCTTAGTATGGACTCCATGGAACAAGGCCTAGACTACAGTACAGGGTATACTGAAGACCAGAGGAGAGGGTTCAGAGAGGCTGCACCACTGATGGAACATCTGGGACATTATCAACCCCACCATGAGTAGAGTCAGAGGGCTCAACAACAATGAGCAGGATAAAGACTTTTCTTTGTTAGGCTCAGAACAATGATACTAATGACAGTGTAAGAAGGATCAACAGGGGAGAGTGAAGGGAGGAGGACACATCTGTCCATCCCAGAGCTTTCAGGGTGGGGGGGCTGAGGCTGGTCAACCCCCACCACTTGGCCTCTAGGAGGACGCAGCGGAGTTGGGCTTGTCGTCACGGACGACGGGGACGCTGCGCTCGCTGCGGCCAGATTCGCTCCCTTCGGTGACCTTTGGTCCGGTCAGAGTCAGCAGACCGTCGGTTGACAGGGTGCAGCTGATTGCTGATTGGTCAACACTGGAGGTGAGGCGGTAGCGGCGGTGAAACTCACGAGCGATGTAACCGTGGTCGTCCTGAAAGACAGCAAGGTGAACGCCACAGTGGCAGGTCAGTCCAAGCAAAGACATTGTGTTCAGGGTGCAGTCCACTAGTTATTTTGGTTACACTCCTCTGTTAGAATGTATTCTGTCTGCCTCCCATCATTACCTGAAGCCCTGCTATGTCACTGAGTGGTGTTCAAACTGTCTCATGTCTATGGTAATCTGTGCACAGCTGTGTACCAGTGATGAGGCGCTACCTGTCTCTCTCCATGCTTGCCCTGGATCTCCACGGCGGGTACATCCCAAGTCTCTTAATTCTCATTTCCTCGCTCCTCGATTGAACCGGAAGTTGTTCTGCGCCGCCATATTGACGGCCGTCCCAAAGCTCTTATTTAGCTCTGAGGATGGAGGAGGGATGTCTGAGGAGCCATGAGCGAGGACCCACGAGAACAGACTTACAGGAAGTCTTTTAACGGCCGACACGCCCCCTCATTGTTCATCTGTCATGTGATCGGACTGATGAGATTTTTTTCAACATGTAAACAGTGAAGACAGATCACAGATTAAACTGAAGCTTTATATTTGATTCGTTTTCTGATTCAACATCTGGTTTCAATAAATGTTCATTGTAGTCTGTAACAACAAAAGGACCACAAACAACTTTCTGCATTTATTAGAAAGATTTGTGTTTTCATGATCTGAACTTTTATTATGGAAACAATTAAAGTCAGAGGGAACTGGAGAGACGAAACACTTATATATATATAACACTTATATATATATATAACACTTATATATATATATATGAGAGAGAGAGAGAGAGAGAGAGCTGGAGAGACGAAACACTTTTTACATCATTTATCATCATTTCATTCAGTCACGTGAGGCTGTTCATTCCTGATTGTCGGGTTTGATGAGTTTTATCATTTAAGAGAAACAATAATCATATTCTGGGTTATTTAATATCGACGTCACAATCTGAATTTCAAAACGTACAGACGCAAATAATTCAGAAATAAGACGAATGCATTCCGCCGGTAGAAATGGATCCTGCGCTTATAAACACAGAACACAGTTTGATAACAGACTACAGAGAGAAACACCTCTACAGTGGTGATTACTGTGTGTCTATTAGTTATTAGTATTATTAGTTACTATTATTAAGTACAGTGATCATGTGAACAGACACAAACTTATCAAAAGTCTCTCCAGCTGTTAAAGCTGACTGACAGCTGATCCAGCTGTGATCAGCTGATCCTCTGTCATCAGAAACAGACGTCGCTTCACGTGACGCAACTGAGGAAAGGACGTCTCATGTCTCTTAAAACATATTTCCTCGTTCCTCTCTCCTCGCATGGTTTCCTCCATGCATCCCTGGTGGGAGGGACTAAGACGCAAGGAAAGGACGCAAGTGAGGGAAACGGGGATGCAGTTAAGAGACTTGGGATGTACCCACACTGAGCTCATCAGGAGAGAATTGCTTGACGTCCAGGTAGACTGTGTACTTGTCTCTGTCAGACCTCACCTGTGGGACAGAAGCACAGAGAGGCTCCATCGTATCAGAACATTGTCCACATGTACTTCTTCTCTGTTACCTCAGAGGTGCCGGAGTTAGAAGAATCCAGAAAGCGGAGGAACAGCGACTGTCTGTAATAGGGGCTGATGGTGGAGGTGGTGTATAAAGTGTTTCTATCAGTACCAGGCATGACCCAGGTGGGCGTGGTCGTAGGCGGTGGGTCCACAGCTGTACCTGTGACACAACACACGTGACATACAGTGTGAGGTTACCATGCACGCTGTGTACAATCATCATACAACCAGATTCTGTCATTTTACCAGGTAGCTACTCCTTCTCTTGCCAGAATGAGAGGCTCTTTCTGTTTGGTCAGGCTGTTGAAAGTCTTTAAACCCGTATCGAACCCGCTGGGTCTAACCCAGGTCTTCCCTGGACCACTACCAACGCTACAGGATCCTGGTCTGTGTTTCACAGCGTGGACTGACTGAGCTTGCACAGAAAGCACCGCGGAGTACTTTTGCTTTCGTCCACATGTGTATGAAGCAACATACTAACTGCTAGCTTAGCATAACAGTTTGTAATGTTAGCTAACGTGCTAGCTACTGTTAGCAGCAGACCATCTCCACACACACCGAGCGAGCTGCTTCACCGCAGTACTGGCACACAGTCAGCACATAGACACGCTGGGAGCAGAGGGACAGTCAACGGCAGACGCCCCCCCCACCACCACCACTACTAGTGTATGTGCAGCGTGTACGTGAATGATTCCCACGCGCCATACGCACGGGGACGCGGTCGACCTCGACGCAGTTCAGCCCCGCGTGTGCTCGGGAAGTTACCGGATACTTTGAAACAATCCCGGAGACCAGAGGAGCACAGTCGGGCGGTCGCGTGGGTCTGACCTGAGAGGTGGTGTCGGACGATGTCGGGACACCGGGTGCAGTTTGCGGACCTTCCTCCGAGTGAGCACAAAGGAAGTCCCAAATTTCACAGTAAGGAAAACTATTGATCACTGCTGACCTTGATTTCACCTATACGACTAATGTATCTGGGAAACTTTTTGGTTTATTTTAGGGGTTACCTCTTTACTAATTTCATAGTAACTTAATATTTAGGCCTAGTAGTTTTTTTTAGTAATACAGGATATGAGTTGTGAATATGTGCTTTTCTCCCTTTTTCTTTCCTATATTGCTCATTGTAGTCATACTGTATCCTAATTATATACCACATGTCAGCTGGCTTTAGGGAAACAGATGTGTTCAATAAACCTTTGACTATTATTATTGTTCTGTAAATGCCAAAATAATTTGTCATTAAAATACATCCACGGGAAATAATAGCTTTCAAATAATATTTCTTCTAATTTCCAAGCAAAACTTGGGTTATTTGCTCTCATGTCTTTGAGGAAATGTAATCACTTTTTGAGGTATACAAGTGTATGTGGCTGGTAATATTGCACATGTTCTGTTCCTTATGCGTGACTGGTTTGTGGGGGTTGTGTGATGACCCCCCTCACCTGCATCAGTGGTGTGATCCCATTCAGTCACCACTTGCTACACTTATCTGAAGTGGCAGTTGCCCTTTTACGTGCTGCTGCTAACTTTTAATCCTCGGCGAGTGTAACACTCCTCGTGCTCTGTCTCAGTAAGGTGACGCTCACCTTGAGATGCGTTGAGTGACCACTTCACTGCATCCCACAGTCTGTAGAGTATAACAAATTAGCGGGCTGTTGTAACACATTGGGGGCTTTTGTGCTTTTATTGCACAAGTGAGTGTTTTTGAAGATGTGATTGCGTGTGAGGCGCGACAGAGTCAGCTGTGCCCGCCTCTGCTGCTGTGTGCTGCAGTGTAAAGCACTACAGCACGGGACACTGAGAAGCTGAGCTCATCTCCATGGTGACAGGTTGAGTGACAGGACACGTGAGCAAGGACGCAATGTAAAATTGCTAGTTTGCAAAGCCCTCCAGAGGTGCATCCACAGAGCACACTGGTTCCATGACAGCGCACATGCAAGTTTTTGATTTATTCGTGCTTGATGGAAGCTGTTATGTCAGTCTGATGGGGGTTGTTTTTGTGTGTATGTGTGTGTGTGTGTGTGTTTTTGTCACTGTCAGCCACTGACATGCATGTGAGCAGCAGGGTGAAAAGTGCTGATGTTGTGTGCAGGTCAGGCCTGGGTATACAGCACGGCAGCTTCAGCAGCAAACCACACATTCTCACTCAGCCCTGATGTCCAGATGCAAGTGACAGTTGGGTCAAGTTTCAGTCTTCTCTCTCTCTCTCTCTCTCTCTCTCTCTCTAGCTAATCATGTTGGCGTCACCTTGAATATACGGCAGATGTGAGTCATTTGTTGGTCAAAGCAGCTCTGATGGAGTTCAAGCAGTATGCCGCAACATCTGTGTTTTGACATTTTCGCACAGACATGGCCATTGTTGTGTCTCCCGTCTCGCACAAATGAAAGTACTGTGCCATCCTTTTCTCAGGGTTATTGATAACGTTAGCATCTGACACTGTGGTAGGCTGCTCTTTTTGGTAGATTTAGCCATGGTGGCTGTTTCTGCTCATGCTAACTGCTACCTTTTTCTTGCTGTTGCTGCACATTAATTGCTGTGTGCCAAAGGTTGTTTCCCAGGGAAGCCCTAAAGGCTTTCATGAACAGTTGAATATGTCTAATCTGTTGTGCCAGTTGCATAACAGCAAAAGGAGGAGAACTAGATATAAGTGTGACATTATTACTTAATAAGCAATAAAAGCTGTTTATGTAGAATTACAGAGCGAGAGGAGGTGTGAGTAATTTTGTCCGTTTTCTGAGTTGATGCTATGGAAGTTCTAACATGTCTATGAAAGGATGATCCTTCTTATGGTGAGGTGAATGTAGGCTTCATTGTAGAATGTCTGTCTGTAGAGCTGCACACTTAATGAGTCACAATGATATGTCTTTCAGTGAGCTGCTTTATGTCCCAGACAGCTGCACTCTGATGTTTATCATCTCAGGTTCCCAGTGATATATGAAGATGATGTCAACAGTCTCCGGCTTGGAGAAGGATATGCAACCTCGATTGGATAGCATGAATGCGGAGATCGACTTTATTTTCCCATCCGTCTGGTAACAATTCTCATGAAGAAAGGGTGGAGCACTTCAACATCAGAATAAATGGTTTAAAGCTCTCCTTAGTTTGCTCTCTGCCAAGAAGTTCTGTTAGCTGACGTTGTTGTTGTTGCTGGAGTTCATTCCATCGTTAACTCAAGTCTGTCTTGTCTCTTTGTCCACAAGCCAATTTAATCAGACTTGTTGTGAGTCCAAGTTTTCTGTCATTCTACGACTCCCTTTCAAAAGCCATCTGCTTCCAAACTGTCATATCACTGTGGGAACATCACTTTGCCTATAATACACATGCATCTTCTTTGCATGAGATTACTACCCAAGAGCCCCGAGTGTGGGAATAATTGCAAACTAGAATAAAAGGACACCTCACTTAGAAGTGTGACCACATATCATATTTATATACGTATATAGCTAACACTAAAACCCACACATTTACTGTGGTATGTATAAAATTCCAAGCATACTGTGTGTGGTATTGAGAAGTGTTGTGGACAGGGCGTGTCGGGCCACACCTGTCCAGTAAACAACTCTTATGCCCTCTTACTTCATCTCCGGCAGTGAATTGGATATTTGCACGCATGTTATGGTGATAACAACATTTTCAGTGCACACCAATAACAAGCGGATCAAACAAGTTGTGCGTGCAACACTTATAAATGCTTTAACTTGAACATGTTAAAAGTTACAGATTGCAGCTTTCAATGAATACAGCCCGGTGATATTTTGGGTGTGTTTAAAAATGAAAGTTGCTTGCATATTCAAATGCAAATCCATGCCTCTCCTTATTTTAATGAGCAGCTCTGAAATAACTTCTTCACACCTTATAATTCTCTCTGAAAAACACATCAAAATCGTTGTGAAGGTGAGGATAATGCATGGCCTTAATTATTAAAAGACGTATTTTCTATACATAGCTCACTCACTACTATTAATGTGATCATTTTAGTGAGCTGCTGTCACCTCGGGTAAGGTGTGAAATGTGGCGTTTGGTCGGCTGTCTGTCCCATTGAAGATGCTGATCTCATTGGATAGGCACTTGAGATGATCCTTCTGCAGATAGTCAGGCCCCTGAGACACTAAACAGCTGTTTTCACAGCGGATTAAAAGGCTGTCCCTTAAGGGCTCTTTAGTTCCCTCAGAGTGTAAAACGCATGGATTTAAGGGTACGCTGTGGCCTTCTGTGCCCAACAGTAATATACTGTTGTTTTTCTAGCTTTATCTCGGGATGTCGCTCTCTGATAGAAAGGCACAACCTTGAGTTGTTATCCACTTTGTTTTTTTGTTGCTAAAATACTGAACATACTTTCAGACGGGAGACTCTTTGAATCACAGAGCCTGTCTTCACGAGGTTTGGTTGGTATTTTGCTATTTTTTTTGCTATTTTAATTGTAATGAGAATACCAATATTTCTCTGAGCTTTCATATATCTTGCAGCTAGTGTTGATTTATTACTATACTGTAATTTCTTTGAGTTCATAAAGACTATTATGCTGAAAAGGTCATTTGTGATAGTGAAAATAGGAATCAAAAGGCTTGCAGACATTTCAGATGAGCCTATTGTACTTCAGGACCGTCTTCTAAAATATATTAGTGTGTATTTAATCTCCAGCACTCTCACATTCCATCCATTTTCTGCTGACCTTTTCATATCTTTACAGGCACTTTATTCACTATACCCGGCTCTAATGTTAGTCAGTGTTCTGCTTCTCTTTGGCCTATTCCTGAAAAGAATGGATACTATTTTCTGACTCCTGACATTTTGTTCCATCATCAAGCATTTGTGAGGAAGCAGAGTTTAACATAAAGGTTGTGTCAAAAGGAGATTTGAAAAGACCAAAAAGGGGAAAAAAAAAAGATGGAACATCAGAGATTTACAATAAGAGCGTAACATACTGCAGAGTGGATGGTATCTTGTGGCTAGAATTACTGCTGGTTGAGTCATCACCTCTGTCTCACTGAATGGCTATGCATCATGAAACTTTGCGTGCCCAATGAATTATCCACCCTCTCCTGACTTCTCATGTCTCTTCAGCAGCGGGATGCCCATGCTATATGGAGAGGAACCAGATGTTTTCATCTTCATTTGTTTTTTTTTATTCATTTTTTTTCTAATTGATTCCCTCTCCATGAGTTCCTTCCTGAAGAAGATGTGATGAAGTATCTATAGTTTTCTCAAAACTGCAGTAGAACTAAAGTAGCGCAAAAATTCCCCACCTTTTTATGTGAAGAATGGGAGATAGTGAAGCTGTCCTGCGCGGCGGCAACAAGTGACACACAGACTTCTCAGCACCAGGCACTTGAAGCTTCTTATTGGCTGCTGCAGCAGAGCTATAGAACTCACTCACAGCGCCCGTAGACACCACGGCATTGTCATCCCCCTCCGCTGCTCTTTTCTCGCCTG